AGTGCAACACGTAACTGTAATGCTAACCCTAACTCTAATCCTAGCCCTAACACAAAGCGTAACCCTAACCTTAACCCTAATCCATACCCTAATCTCAAATCTCACCCTAACTGGATTGTCATGCCTAACTCTAAACCTAACTGGATTTTCATCCCAATGGGGATTTTCTATGTAATTTATGAGGAAACTAAGATAATGGGGATTCAAATTGTGAGAGGCCGCTTAAGTATAACGAGGCTCTCCAAATCTGCATTGATTCCTGGCAATTGCCTGAACTAATCCTTGAAGTTTTCTTGGCAAGATTTTGCAAGTAGTTTGCTTTGGCCTCCTTTCCAGGACAGGATCCGTGAGGAATCCTGGATGACAAAGGCCCAAGGTTGCCCAACTGGTTTTGTCCCAAAGGTAGGATTAGCACACAGTCTCCGGGTTTCTAGTTTGGGGCCTTATTATAACCAATTGGCTCTATCATATTCCTTACCTTTTCAAAAACGAGTAGACAAAAAGTTGTTTATGTATTTATTATAACAGAATGGTATTTGATGTTTTTCAGGTTTCTTTGTGTGGAGTGGGGAAAAAATTAATAGAAAACATATAGCTTTTCTCTTTTTTATTTGTTGAAATTAATAGAAAAATAAAGCACTCAATAAAATTACAATGATAAATTTAAAATTGATTCTCTCTATATATAAAAAGGCAGAATTCAATACATATTCATTTGATTTCATATGCTGTTTAAAACCCAGGACTAATCAATATACAGTATTCAATTTCTAGGTTTGCACTTCATTGCTGCTTCCAAAACTTTGTGTTTTTGTCAAGTGACACATTCCCTTAAACAATAATTTATATACATGTCATGATTCATAGGTTAGTAATTTATCTCACAAAGTAACCCTATCAGAAGGCACATTCTAAGTAACAAAACAATTGACAAATATACACTGCCAACAATATATCCAATTATGTCCGGCACTATTTTAACGCTCATATTTATGGAGCTAATAAGGCCACATGCTGATCGTGAGGAGGAAGAAGGAAATTTACAGCAGTGTTGAAAATCTGTTAACTTTATTACCAATTATTTTGGTGGTCACAAATTTCTTATAAGACAATGGCTTCAACCTTTTTGCTAAGATCCCTCCCCCAGTCCTACTCATTACTGAACTGTGTAAAAAGCAAAAGCACTTGGCTAGTTGCGATTTTCAGAATGTTACCCATCCAGATAAAAAGGTTTTTTTGGACTGGAACATTTTGGAGATGGCAGTAACAGCAGGAGACCTAGTAGCTACACAGGTAGTCCTCGACGTACGACAATTGAGCCCGAAATTTCTGTTGCTAAGTGAGACATTTGTTAAGTGAGTTTTGCCCCATTTTACAACCTTTCTTGCCACAGTTGTTAAGTGAATCTTGACTTTGCTCATCAGAAAGATGCAAAAGACAATCACATGACCCTGGAACCCTACAACTGTAATAAATACGAGTCAGTTGCCAAATATCAGAATTTTAATCATGTGACCATGGAGATGCCACAACTGTGAAAAATAGTCCTGTCACTTTTTTCAATGAACTGTTGTAAATTGAGGACTACCTATACATAGCCCATCACCAGATATTCTTTGGCATACAAGTTGAAATGAGTGGCAGTCATAGATTGTATTAAGCTACCAAGAAATATATACAGGTAGTCCTCGACTTATGACATTTTGGACCAGAACTGTTCCTAAGCAACGTGACCATTAAGTGAGTCATACCGAATTTTACACCACTTTTTTGCTATTTAAGCAATAGTGATCATGTGACCATAGAACGTTGCTACCGTTATAAATACAAACTGGTAGGCGAGCACCTGCCCATAACTGTGGGGAAGCTGCAGGTCTTTTAAGTTTGAAGAACAGCAAATTAAGTCATTTTTTTTCGGCACCATTGTAACCTCAAACAATTGCTAAACAAATGGTCGTAAATTGAGGACTATCTTTAAGGCCTTGGTGCTGCTAGAACTGCATATGCAGAGTGGGTAAAGAGAAAGAGAACATGAGCACTTTACCAAGATAAAAATAAGGAGAACCCAAGTTTTTAAAATTTAATGGTAACATGAAATATGAAATAATAAAAATTTGAACCATGAAAAACAGAATTCAGGATTCCTTGTAAATGAACTAACTGGGGCACCATCTTAAATGAAGGACATAAGACTTCCAATTCATGATGTCCATGCAGTGAGCATAAATTTGGGGTGGTCTTTCTCCTGATGCATTTGACATATATGCAATATGAGCTTTTTCCTACAGATAAATGAGACTGAAATGTTCTACACTACACAATCCCTAGAACAGTGATGGCGAACCTATGGCACGCGTGCCAGAGGCGGCACTCAGAGCCCTCTCTGTGGACACATGCGCTGTTGCCCCAGCAGAGTTCGTCAGAGTAGCGAGCACGTGGTGCTTGGAAGCGACGGGGCAGGAAGGGAGCAAGTGACGTTGGCCCCCAGGAATGCCCTGGAGATGGCGAGGAACTGGCCCCCACCGCCCTGGCCCTGGCCACGCTCACCCAGTCTGCCGTGACCACTGCAGCCCCGCCCACCCAGTGGGCCACGCCCCCACACACACCCCTGAGGGCACCACAATACTGATGCAGTCCTGGCACTTTGCGAGAAATAAGTGGGTTTTGGGTTGCAGTTTGGGCACTCGGTCCCTAAAAGGTTCGCCATCACTGCCCTAGAAGCTTGTACCCATTAGTACATTTGTAAAATTATCAAAGTGCAATCAACTGAATTTTCCACTGTCACCTTCATTCTCCATACACATAGTGTACACATTTCCAGACTAGACATTTCGATTCGATGCACATCCCATTTTCCAGTAAGCACATTTACCAATCCAATTAAGTTTCAATTAAAAGAATTTTTGTTGCATTTTGCATAAAAACATGTATCAAAATGAAAAATATAAGCAGGGAAAAAAAACACAATTTGGTAATAAGCTTCTGGTGTTTTGTTTTGTTTTTCCAAGCACATAAATATCTCGGGACAAGCAAATCCCTCCAGTTATATTAGTGTTTCTCAACCTTGACAATTTTAAGGCATGTGGACTTCAACTCCCAGAATTCCACAGCCAGCAATGCTGGCTGTGGAATTCTGGGAGTTGAAGTCCACATGCCTTAAAATTGTCAAGGTTGAGAAACACTGTGCTATATTGACAGAGATGCCATGAAAACTGGAACTACAGGCACATGCTAGGATTGCAAGTTACACATACACTTTATAGCAGCTGGTAAACCATGTATACAGACACAAATATATATACATACATAGTTTATCCTCATTATTTGCAGATTTCATTATTTACAATTTCATCTACTCACTGAAATGTATTTATAATGCCAAATGCACATGGCAGTTTTGCAGTCATTTGGGGACAGGCTCAGAGCAGGGAAAAATGTAAGTCACCTGACAGGCATGTTCCCACTGAGGCTGATAAAGTGGACACTCTGCCTTTTTATTTCAGCTCCCGTACAATAAAAGTGCTTTGCATATTCCCCCTAGGAGCAATGGTTCAGTATTTAGTAAATCAGAATTCATTACCTGATAGAATGTAACTATTGTGAATAACAAGCATTGACTGCACATATACATGTGTACACACGAACACACAACGCAGGCGTACAGGTCGTCCCAGACTTACAATCATTTGTTCAGCAACCGTTCGAAATTACAAGAGCACTGGACAAAGGGACTTGTGACCCGTGCCTGATGTTACAGGTATTGCACTGGCCTTGTGGACACCTGACAGCTTATCCCTACTTATGACTGCAGGGGCACTGCAAACCCAACTACCAGTCTATTGCCCTCTAACTGGCACTTTCCACAGGGTGGCTGCTTTGCACACCACTGTGTATTCAGCCCTTTGTGTATGAGGAGTGGCTGTTTTGTGCTGTGCTCTTGGCACTTCCCAGGTGTTTGATACTTTCTGTGGGGCAACTGTTGCTTCCAAGGGGTGGCCCCAGCTTCTTTCCCTGGCCTCGCCTTGCCCTGCAGCATCTCCCAAGTCACCCACAGCCTGTTCAAAGCCTCTTAGGGCCTCCGTTACCCGAGGTACCCCCAGGCTCCTTGTGACTCAGTCCACCTAGCAACCCATGAGACTGCTTCATTACCACAATTGAGCATGCTACAATTACACTGGCTAAGTAGTCACATGACATTCTCCCTTGACAACCACTCTGCTCAAGGATGGAGATTCTGGTCCCCAATCGGGACTTGCAAGTCTAGGCTACCTGTACATATACACAAAGACCCCAGTCCATCGCATTTTCTTCCAAGCAAATTAAAGGAGCATTTAATCAAATGAAAGGCTGGTTTGTAACAGCAAAGTTGCATCAAAAGTAAAGGAACTTTTGTGAAAATAAAGGTTTGTTCCAGGTTCAGATGCCTCTCTTAAGATCAAGGCTTTCTATTCACTATAAAACAGTAAAATAGATAAGCTCCATAAGTATCTAGGAATTCTCAGTTGAAGGTAGGAGAAATTAAGTTACGCTTTTATTCTCACTGAAATTAATAGCGTAATGCAGTCACAGAGGGCTTAAATCCTATTTTAAAGGGATTAAAAAGGACTTCAAATGAATCCAGCTAATGTTTCAAATGAACAATTAAAAGCCTCTAGGACAGCTATTCAGATTATCTATTACTGATAATATTTCTACTTTTCCATTGGAAATCTTTCACAACAAAAACATACAGCATGGGCGTTATTAAATAAATAGCAATCATTAGAAATATGTAGAAACATTTAGGGAACAAACTTTTGTCTGCCCTTTTGCTTGCACGAACAACAACACGTAACAGATTGCACTTTCTATTTGTCAAGTTACATGGCCATTTTTTGAAAAAAACCAAAACAGTGTTACTTTTAGAGAATCACTAACCATTTTAGTGTAATGCTAAAATAACAATCCTAAAGAGCAGAGCAGAATAACAATCCTAAAGAGCAGAGCAGCCTTCTCTATTAAAAAGAAACATGTGAAGATCAGTTCAGTTTAAATAACTGCAGTGAAAATAAAGGAAGGGAATTATTTAATGACCATTAGTCATACAGTTAACATTCCCTCTGTGAAAGAAGTTGTCATCTTTAAACTTCTGGTGTTCTGGCAAATCTAGTAGACTTTTAGCTTCTTCAATGTCATGTTGAATAGCAGTTATAAGTGCATCTGTAGAGGAAAAACATAAAACATTAACTACTTCTAAAGCAGGGGCGGGCAACTGATTTTATCAAGGGGCCACATGACAAACTGGGATTACTGCGGAAGATCGTAGCCCTGCCCATTGCTGCCACAACCCAAACCCCAAGGCTGCCGCCGCCATCCCCACTGCCACAGCCCTAACATTGTTAGTGCCCCCCCACTATCACAGGCCAGACTGGGATCACCCGTGAGTCAGATGTGGCGTGCGGGCAACAAAATGCTCAGATCTGTTCCAAAGTATATAATATTGATAAATGCAGGATCCGATCTGAGTCGGTCACTGGGACCAAGGGTTTTGTCTTCCCAGCTTTCGGAGTCATGCTGGAGCCCATCTTCAGAGAACTTCTGTCTAACAGAGTGTGTGCAGTTCTGCTTGTGGCTGTTGTAGTGGCTTTTTAGCACACACACTGCTAGACTCAGATCGGATCTGGCAACATTACCCTGAGACACATTGTCAGAACATGCACAGTTTTATTGCATTGAGATAACCCAGGAGTAAACACAGTAAACAGTGGTCTATATTAAATGGTGGTTTATCTTACACTATCTACAGTATCATACACCAGGAACAATATACATACACGTGTTAATACAGCAGGCTCCAACACACAGCACTTACAGCAGGAAAACAGAAAACAGAGAGCACATCTGTGGAAACTTCCCTTTTATACAAAGCTCTTAAAGGGACACAGACCCAGCTGACTCTTAAAGGGACATAGACCCTGCTGAGTCATTCCCATCATTACATCATACATCTCACATTACATCAGCTGATTAGCTTTTAAATCATTACTTTGACACACATATTTGCCTTTATTCGTAATGTTGGTAAATGCCTGATTCAAGATACAAATGAAGTATTTAAAGCATCTGCTGTCTACAAGTATCTTTCATACCATCTAAACTGAGTGAGTTATAGTCTGAGAGTGCCTATGTATGTTGCTTTTTCTATGGAGAAAAGATGGGAATTGAGGAAATAGTTAAAAGGATCCAAAACGATGTAGCTTTCAATTATGATTTGCATGGCTAATACCTTGCCAAAGAGGAAGGGAAGACAGAGCAAGAAAAAAGTCATGAGTCTTATTCATATGTCAAACCATGACATATTGAATTATACACCCAATTTATGTATTTTCTCCAGAAACTCAAGATGAATTTTGTAGCACATCAACAACCCTGTGAAGTAGATTGGGCTGAAAGATGTAAGCTTCCAGCATTATATGTAAGTTTCTTGTTCCTACTACAGTACAATTATCACTCAAACTGAGATTTATCAGTTGGGTTGTGCTTTTTACCCCCAGATAATTGCAATTTTCCGTATTTTTCTGGTTCTATGTAACGTGCAGCATAGGTAGATGTTGCAAATGTACATTTTCTTCAGGAAGAAAATGTTTCTGATCTACAATTTCACCCAAACCAATACAGGTATAAACGCTCTTCATATTCTTTGCCTTGGCAACCTATATTTTAAGAACTCCCATTGTATAATAATGATATTAAAAACCTGATCTTATTAGTAGACCTTATCATTTATCAAACAATAAATACTCAAATACTCAAGACTTACCTAAAGAATTAAAGTTCTGCTCTGGTCTTATATAACCAATAATGATTATGCTGAGTATTTCTCCATAAAAGTCTTTCTTGAAGGTGTGAATGATGTGTGTTTCCTAAAAAAAAAAAAAAAAAATTCATAGCATGTCGGTATGTATAGTAAAGCACTGAAATAAAGACACGTTTATTTCTAAGTAAAACCAAAACAACTATTGATTTCTAAATAAGAGTACAGACAGTTCTTTCTTAGTGACCATTCAGCGACCGTCCAAAGTTAGGGCAGCACTGAACATATTATTTTATGGTTGGTCCTCAAAGTTCTTGCTGTTGCATGTGATCATGTGGCCACGTCATCAAAATCTGGATGCTTTGTAGCCTGCCTACATTTTGCAGGCAGCTTTACTAGAGGCAGGTAAGGGCAAGAACAAGCAGAGAAGTATGAGTAGGCTCTGTCAGTGCTGGGCTCGCCTCCAACCTGTTGCTAGGCCTGCAGGTTAGCTCTCCAAGAGTGCTTCCAATATGAGCTGTGGAGCATGCGCTGCACTTCCGAGAAGCCCTCATCCTCCATTTTGTTTCAGTATATTACTCACAGTCTCCATTGATGGAGCATCTGATGCCTCACTACTCCACTGCCTCCTCTCCAGCAAAAACTGTCCAAAAATAAATTTCTACTGATCAGGTCCTAAGCTAGTTCTAAGATATTAACACACAACATACTCACCACTGATTTCTTAACATTCTTGTAATACGGATTCCAACCTATACTCAAAACCACTTTATGCACATCTCCGGTTCCAACACAACCCCATCCATAGTATATGCCAGTACAGATATCAGATGGGAAACTATCAACCACTTCTTCGGAAAAATTAGCTGAAAAATAAAACATTTATTTATTTATTTATTTATTTATTTATTTATTTTCACTAACTTCTATGCCGCCCTTCTCCCCACGGGACTCAGGGCGGCTCACAGCATATTAAAAACAACACAAAAAACATTTCCCCTATAAAACCAATTAAAAACCAAATATATTTATGGCTGTGTCATTATTAAAATCTTTAAAAAATTATTCCCTATTTAAAANGAAACTCAAGATGAATTTTGTAGCACATCAACAACCCTGTGAAGTAGATTGGGCTGAAAGATGTAAGCTTCCAGCATTATATGTAAGTTTCTTGTTCCTACTACAGTACAATTATCACTCAAACTGAGATTTATCAGTTGGGTTGTGCTTTTTACCCCCAGATAATTGCAATTTTCCGTATTTTTCTGGTTCTATGTAATGTGCAGCATAGGTAGATGTTGCAAATGTACATTTTCTTCAGGAAGAAAATGTTACATTTGCAACATCTACCTAAGAAAATGTTTCTGATCTACAATTTCACCCAAACCAATACAGGTATAAACGCTCTTCATATTCTTTGCCTTGGCAACCTATATTTTAAGAACTCCTATTGTATAATAATGATATTAAAAACCTGGTCTTATTAGTAGACCTTATCATTTATCAAACAATAAATACTCAAATACTCAAGACTTACCTAAAGAATTAAAGTTCTGCTCTGGTCTTATATAACCAACAATGATTATGCTGAGTATTTCTCCATAAAAGTCTTTCTTGAAGGTGTGAATGATGTGTGTTTCCTTAAAAAAAAAAAAAAACAATTTCATAGCGTGTCGGTATGTATATTAAAGCACTGAAATAAAGACACGTTTATTTCTAAGTAAAACCAAAACAACTATTGATTTCTAAATAAGAGCACAGACAGTTCTTTCTTAGTGACCATTCAGCGACCGTCCAAAGTTAGGGCAGCACTGAACATATTATTTTATGGTTGGTCCTCAAAGTTCTTGCTGTTGCATGTGATCATGTGGCCACGTCATCAAAATCTGGATGCTTTGTAGCCTGCCCACATTTTGCAGGCAGCTTTACTAGAGGCAGGTAAGGGCAAGAACAAGCAGAGAAGTATGAGTAGGCTCTGTCAGTGCTGGGCTCGCCTCCAACCTGTTGGTAGGCCTGCAGGTTGGCTCTCCAGGAGTGCTTCCAATATGAGATGTGGAGCATGCGCTACACTTCCGAGAAGCCCTCATCCTCCATTTTGTTTCAGTATATTACTCACAGTCTCCATTGATGGAGCATCTGATGCCTCACTACTCCACTGCCTCGTCTCCAGCAAAAACTGTCCAAAAATAAATTTCTACTGATCAGGTCCTAAGCTAGTTCTAAGATATTAACACACAACATACTCACCACTGATTTCTTAACATTCTTGTAATACGGATTCCAACCTATACTCAAAACCACTTTATGCACATCTCCAGTTCCAACACAACCCCATCCATAGTATATGCCAGTACAGATATCAGATGGGAAACTATCAACCACTTCTTCGGAAAAATTAGCTGAAAAATAAAACATTTATATGAACCATTAAAATACTGTAACTCATAGCACACTCAAAAAGATCAGGCAGAAAGTCTTAGATCAATACATACATCTATATTAATAGTATAGTATACTATGATCCAGTTGAGGGAGACCATAGGTTAGGGCAGTCTAAATATAACTAAGGTAATTTACATCAATGTTTAAGTCATTCTTCAAATACACACACACTCAAGAAGGCCAGCCTGCATTTGAATTTTCAGGAACATCTGTTGTTTTGTAATTTGGTAATTTACATATATAAATTATCTCTCGGTTATAAAATAATAGTACCTAGTCTACAACGTAATGAAGGTATTAGGCTACCTAATATCTAACCACATTTTGTAACATGATTTGTGTTACACGTTACCTCCTTTAAAGCAAAAGGAATGGAAAGTGAATGTGCGCATGTTCCTCTGCATGTATTTTAACAAAAAGCCCATAACCTAGTTCTTTCTATTAAGAACTAGGAATTATATTATTGGTGAGCAGTTTCATACCAGGATTGTTAAAAACCTACCTCTTTTCATTAAATGCAGAAGCCCGATTCTAAATTATCACAAAATATCCCTTATGTAAACGGTTTTAATCTAAACAGTTGGGGAGACTCTCTTGCTTGGGGAGGAATTTAGGCTGGATACTTGGACAACATAATACCAGAAAATATGAGAGTTGTAAGTTAGGTTGGGAGCCCACAATACATCTTGTTAAGTTTACAGCATTTTGGTGTAACGATTAAGGTGCTGGCCTAGAAACCATGAGTTCTAGTCCCATTTTAAGCATAAAAGCCAACCGAGTGATTTTGGGCTAGTCATTCTCTTTCAGCCCAATGCACCTCACAGGATTGTTATAAGGAAAGAGGAGGGGGGAGTTTAAGTTACAGGTAGCCTTTGACTTACGACTTACAATCGAGCCCCAAATTTATGTTGTTAAGTGAGACATTTGTTGCCCCGTTTCTTGCCACAGTTGTTAAGCGACTCCCTGGAGTTGATAAGTTAGAAACCTGGTTAAGTCAATCTGCTTTCCCCATTGGCTTTGCTTGCCAGAGGGTTGCGAAACGGGATCACATGACCCCTTGGATGTTGCACATGACCCTTTGGATGTTGCAATGGTCGTAAGTATGAACCAGTGGCCAAGCATCTGAATTTTGATCACAGGATCACGGGGACGTTGCAGAAGTCGTAAGTGTGAACAACAGTCATAAGTCACTTTTTTTCAGGGCCGTTGTAATCAGGAACTGTCGTCAGTCGAGGACTACCTGCACTTATAAATAATAACTACGGGATTAAAAAAAAAATCAAATAAAAAATAAAGTCGTTTTGTACTATAGGGAAAAAAAAACCCCACAACGCTAACTAGGAAGGGGCTGAGCTGGACTTTGAACGGGACTTCGTATTACCAGAAACACCACCCCCCCAAAAAAAAAACAAAAATCCAGCTCCACTTCTGCGAAAGCCTCGTTATAATCAAGGCAAGAAAGAACCCAGAAAGCCGACCTTCCCCCACCAAACACCCCGTCGGCCGCCAGAAGAACCAGGCGGGGGCGGCGAAGGAAAGGACCTGCCGCGACGCTTCCACCCGGCTCCTCCGGGACCGGCGCCCGGTCCTCCCCGCTTCCATCGCCCTCACCTGTGCGGATGCCCAGCTCCTTGGAGCCCCGCCCGAAGCCTCGCACCACCTCCCCGCGGCAGAAGCACGGCAGGCTCTTCATGGCGACGGAGCTTACGAGGGCGCGAAGGCAGAGGCGGCTCGGTCCCACGGAGCGCGCGCCGCCGCCGGTCCCCACGACTACAAGCGCAGCAATCCCGGGCGGACCCAGAAGGCTCCAGCCGCGTCTCGTCCGAGAAGGTGACGCACGCGACCACGCACGATCGTAGAAGAGAACTGCCGGTGCGGAAGAGGTGGGGCATTGTCTTGCGTCACAGGAGAAGCGGGAGGGAGAAGAGGAGGAGGAGAAAGAGGAAGAAGAAAGGAACGCAAAGAACGTGCTAGCAGGCACGGCTGTTCCCCTCCTGCGAAGGTTTGCTCGTCGGACGCCGGTGGGCGGAGCCACGGCATTTCTGCCCCGCCCGCCCGAGAAAGAGATTGGCTTAGGACAGGGGTAGGCAACCTTGGCTCTTTTATGACTCGTGGACTTCAACTCCCAGAATTCCTGAGCCAGCACAGCTGGCTCAGGAATTCTGGGAGTTGAAGTCCACGAGTCATAAAAGAGCCAAGGTTGCCTAACCCTTGGCTTAGGAAATGCCGCCAGCGCGCCTGCGCCTTGGCGTTCTCCGGCAATGGTATGCGGGCTTTGAAAGTCGTCGGTGGAAGGTTGCAGCTGCGGCTTGTTCCCATCTGGTTTTCCCAGATCGGCTTTCCCGTTTCCCGAAACGGCTGGCGTGGAAAAAGGCAGAGGTTCCTGCCGGCTTTATGAAAGGCATTGTCTTCTTTAAGGGATTCTGAACGCGACCGATGAATTTGTGTGAAGAGCCATGAAGGAAAGAAATGACTTGGTTGGGGGTTAGCTTTGCAAGACATACGTAAGCTTGCAGGATCCAGATCTGGGTCGGTCACCGAAACCAAAGGTTTAGTCTTCCGATAAATACATAAGCTTAGATGGAGTTTTGTAATCTGTATATCACGAGGGCAGGAGTTAGTCTGCCCTATCAAAAAGTCTTGCATTATTTTGCCCGTAGAAGTCAACAGATTTTTAAAATATTACCCCCACCCATACAGATGAGTGTTTCAAAGTATAACTCGCATCATCCCGCAATCACGAGAACTGCAGTGAAGCACATTGGGAAAATCAGTTTGGGAAAGTTGATAAAAGTGCCAGGTAATGTTGGATGTTGCTGAGATGAACACTGGAAGATACAAGGAATTTCAAGCAGTTCACGCATGCCCACAATACACAGCTTAGTCACTGAAATTAATCCCACATCCCTCTTTCAAAGGAATACTGGAGATCATAAACCAGTCTTCCCAAACTGGGTGATCACCAACTGTTAAGCTGTTATCTTCAGCCAGCTGGAGGAGTATGTTGGGTGGAAATAGAAGTTTTGTAGGCAGAAGACTAGCAGAACACATGAATATCAACTTGTAGAAGACACATTCTTAATCCTACAACACAGAGACCAACCACAGTTTCAACTGGAAAACAGCACCTAGACCAAGTCAAATCCAAAAAGATATGGAATTCTTAGAAGCTTGGCATACAGATCAATCAAGCCATTAATAGACCCAGAGATAAAGCACATTTACAAACCATTCAAACAAAACGGAAAAAGCTAAGAAGGAAATAAGTCCAGGACACATCCTCTCCAGCAGCTTTCATCCAGATAATCAAGGATTAACACCAAAGGAACTATCAAACAACAATATCCTAATTGAGGCTTTGAACCAAGGCAAAAAGCACATCCTGACCAGTACTGGCACAGCAAGCTACTGTATATGAAGAGAGAGAAAATCCAATATTCACCAGCACCAATAACGTTACCCGGTCAGGTATTGAAATATAAGCAAACTAAACCCCACAATTAAATAAAGTTAAAATAATCTAATACAAAAAAAATATGAAAGTACCATAAAACAAAGCACACACACATGTATATGGGGCTCCACTAACATCCCAGTAGTTAACACTTGGAGAAAAAGCTGAGCAGATGGCCAACGCAGACTGGATCATCCCAGGAATTCTCTTCTATATGCCTTGATTCCCCAGCTGCATCCAGGCTGTTGTATCAGGATAGCAGGGAAAATCCAACTTCCACAGAACACCTAAAGTTTCAGGCTTCCTTCGGAAATGGGTTAGCAGTGAGATCGATGTGACATCATGAGAACAAGGTCTCTTAAATATTTCAGTGGGGAACCTTCTTGTGAATGAGCTAAGGCAGGGGTAGGCAACCTTGGCTCTTTTATGACTCGTGGACTTCATTCTGGGAATTGAAGTCCACGAGTCATAAAAGAGCCAAGGTTGCCTACCCCTGAGCTAAGGCATATGCTCTTTTGCAATTCAGCTAAACAATCCTGATTTATTTTTTTTAAAAACTTTCCGTTGGAATGTAGGTAGAGAATGCCAGTCTGGTGATGGCAACTGCTGACTGGCCTGAGAATAGCTTCTACCCAGCATACTGTATCTAGATTCTAGAGCAGTGTTTCTCAACCTTGACAATTTTAAGGCATGTGGACTTCAACTCCCAGAATTCCACAGCCAGCATTGCTGGCTGTGGGATTCTGGGAGTTGAAGTCCACATGCCTTAAAATTGTCAAGGTTGAGAAACACTGTTCTAGAGGGTACAAGTTTGCTGAAAAGTCAAATTAATTAAACATTTCTCTTATGTCCACTAGATGGCGGATGTTATCTATTCTTGTAAAAAACAAGATTAGATGTTCCAACTCCTAAAGAACAGTCACTTCAAAACAGAAGTCTGAAGTTTAAAACAGCATCTGAAATTGCAAATTATTGCATGACAGAATGCTAGACTGCATGGAATGCGTAACGCTTAAGCTTATGCAAGCAAGCCCCATTTTGTTTCTTTCACCATGCAGCCATGACAGCTAAACATATTTCCATTGATTTACTATGTTACCACTGTTGGTTTCAGAAAGCTTCAAATACACCAATCTACAGTTCTCTTGAAAATATTGTCCTCTGTTGCCACTTTGTATTGTTTTTCCACTGAATTCCTATCCATGTAATTATAATCCTATAATTACATTTGTATAGTGGAAATATTTCTCCTTAATGTGAATCATTTAAAGTGGACACTAAGTGACCATTACATTGAAGCACAAATTGGCTTATTGACACTGCTAAAGAGAAGGTCAAAGCGCTGAAAACAAAGGCAAGATATTTCATTGGATATAATACATCGTGCTTAGTTAGGTCAGTGGGGTAATTAGAATATAACTCTGAAGCAATTATATAGGATTATAAAAAAATAGTTTTAGTAAAAATGAATTGTTAGAAATATTGTTTTTTTCTAAGAAATTTTGGGCTTCTGCTTTCCCATGGCCTCGCTCATTTCCCAATATCTTTTCCAGCTTATCACCATTCTTTGGCCTTCTAAATGTTAGTTTCCTTGGGAAGCTGCCAAATTGGATGTCATATAGCCCAGCCATTGCTTTGTTTTCCTGAAGAAGATAATTGGGACTTAAGGGTGGTTTTTTTAAAAAATTATCTTCCCTATTCACAAGTTTGGAAGTAAATGTTAATGAGCATATTAACAAGTGCGCTATACAAGTGGAATCTTAGACCAAATTAGCTAGTAATAATATAAGTTGTTTGGGAACATGAATATTGAAAAACAGCCTTAATGAGCCTGATAATTTTGCTGTGATTTAATTTTTTTCTGCTTTTGTAATATTGCATCTTGACAGCTTTAGTAAATTGTGTGTATCTCCTCATGGTGGAATATGGGCAATAAAACGTGCAAGAAAAGTCTTAGCTTAGAGTTCCTAGCTTGCATTAATTACATAAGTAACCTTGGAGTAACATTGAACTAGGATTGTGCTTTTAGCATACTGGCCAAAAAATGTCAAAACTGACCTACTGCTGGCAAGGAATGTATAACATTGTTTAGAAAAACAAAGTTAAGTACTTTTGTTCTCTTTATCTAAGACTTTATTTTATCTCAGATTAAGTCTTTGATTAGAAATAATTAGAATAAAAAGAAGTGTTAAATTACTAAACTAGCAGTTTTCCTTTAGTTAAAGTTTACCCTGTTACGGTTTTTATAAAATGGCTATTATTTTTATAAAAAATTTCTTTCAAACTATAATTCAAAGTAAATTTTAAACCATTGGTCCATACATTCTCCCATTTATCTAGCTTTATGTTGTACCTAAAGTTTTTCACCCATTTTACAATACCATATTTGACATATTCATCTTCCAGATTCACCTTAAGTAACATTTTATATACTTTTGTAATCAGTTGGTCATCTCAGAACATAACTGATATCCAATTCAGTATGGATTTTTATCAATACAGTAGAAAAAGTTTTCCAAGGATCAGGCTATTATGAGGATTAACCTATGTTGATATGCACAAACTCATGTATGCATTTTCTCTTTCTGTATGTCCCACACACAAAAAAAAAACCCAAATGACATCAACCGCTCTCATTATAAGCCTGAAGAGAAAGGTTTCAGGAATTAAAACAAAACGTTACTAAAAGGATGTCAGTGATTAAGTGCTGTATGTTGTTTCAACTCATTAGATTATGATCAAATTCTACTAGTTTTCAAATTTTGATGATGATGATGATGATGATGATGATGATGATGATGTTGGAAGTACCTGGAGGTCATCTAGTTCAGGGGTGTCAAACTGCCGGCCCACAGGCTGGTTTCATCACACGGAAGCCACACCCACCCTATTGCTGGCAATGGAAAAAAAGTCGCAATACGTCGCAACACGTCACATGACATTGCAAGTTTGACACCCCTGATCTAGTCCAACCCCCTGCTCAGGCAGGAAACCCTATACCATTTCAGACAAATGGCTGCCAAGTCTCTTCTTAAAAACTTCCAGTGTTTATTTGTTTGCCCTCAATATCACATACCTCCTATTCTTGCTTCTCCAAAAATTTAGAGAAAGATAGTTTAAAACAGTTGAGGTAGGCCGATCACAGAATTTCAGAACTATCAACCACAATCATTCCCAGTTGGGTTGATTTAAGATTTAGGTTTTAATGAAGGTTCACTGGTCAGCTGATACACAGGTGATCAACCTATCCCATCTTCAGAAGCTTTCCTGAAGCAATCCAAAAAAGTTCAATACTTGTTAAACTGGATTTCTCCTTTGCAAGTGCCAA